GCAGAATCCCATCAAAGGAAATAAATCGTGCTGGCAACTATTGTCACATAATAAAATGTATTCTGGAACTGAAGGGCTTTCATATGGAGCTGTCTGCAGCTTCGTGGCCATGTTAATTGAATAAGGTGCCTGACTGGGGGGAGGCGGGGAATGAAATTTCCCTCAGCATCTGCTCAGCCGAGCCGTTGGCAGCCGCGTATGGGATGCTGACCTGTTTGTCACGGGACAGCCCTCGCTCCTGCAGGGAGGTGGCGGCTCAGCAGGGGCGGCTCCCTGAGTGGGGGACAGAGAACGCTCAGTAACGTGCCCGAGCACTTGGGGGTGCTCTAGTTAGAATCCTCCCATTACCAAGCGGGTGTTAGGATATTAATTCATCATTTGAGTCGAGTGGCAGAAATCGTTGGCCTCTGACGGCCTGCCCCTTCTTCCAACGGCCCAGGGCCTGCGGGAGGTCCCAGAGGCCTTCATCTCTGGGCGCAACGCCAGGGAGAGCCGGTTTCCTGGCGGCTTCGCCCTTCTGTTCAGTAAATGTAATTATTCCCACCTTAGAAGGTTGCTGAGAGGATGAGGCAAGGCGATGTGTGTGAAGGAACCTAGCCCCATGCCTGGCAGGTGGGTCCCCACCAGACACAGGGGACTAGAATGTCCCTTCGCTGAGACTCAGCTGACTGCAGAGCTCCCCTGACCCTGGTAGGCTAATCCGACAGGCGGAGCCCGGCCACTTCTCCTTCGGCAGGTGACTTCCATTCAGTTTAACCACAGGTGATCGGTCCCTCGGCCCAGCCTGTTCCTTCTCATTAACAGGAGGCCTTGATTGCCTTCTTCCCCACCTCCCCTCCTTTCTGGGCCCCGGAAAGCAGCAGCAGCTTTTGCAGCGTAGGAACTCTTCTCCCCGGGGCTGCGGGCCGAGGCCTGACCACTCCCTGCTCTCTGAGAGCTGCCCACCCCCACACTGCTGCATCAGCCGCTGTAGCTGGAGTTCCTGGCAGCTTGATTTCAATTCAACCAATACCTATTGAGCAATTACTCTATAAAAGAGAGAGAGAGAGAGATGTGAGAGAGGCACATCGATTGATTGCCTCCCGCACACCCCACTGGGACCAGGGATCGAACCTGCAATCCAGGTATGTGCCCTTGACTAGAAATTGAACCCATGACCCTTCATGCATTGGGGTGATGCTCTAACCACTTACCCACACTGCCAGGGTTTGAATCATCTTTTGATTTTATTTTTTTTATTTATTTTTTTTTCATCTTTTGATTTTACATTTACCGTATCACCAGACATTGCCTGTGGCATGAGATCAGAAATGCCCCCCCCCCCCTTGTAAATTCCTGGCTGCTGCCGCCACTGACTTCTTGTTACATTATGCCTATTTTCCTCCATAGCAAAGAGGAGTGGGGTGCACGGCATAATGGATCTCCCAGAGTCCTTGAATCTAACTGGGGAACACACACATGCAGAAATGAAATAATAGAGGCTCACAGCACTTCATGTCCAAGAAGGGCCCCGGGGGTTTTCATGGAGTAGGTTCAACACTGGATTTGGTTGACAAATATTCAGTAATCTAAAGCAGACATTGCCCTAGAAAAGGGGGTACAAAAGCGATAAGATTTGGCCCTGCTCTTGAGGAGGTCACAGTCATAGTAGGGAGATAGGCTTATATCAAATGGTTAAGTATATTGGGGTACCTGGAGTGGGAGAGGTCATTCAGGCATCCAGCCCAGCCTGGAGCAAGCCCAGGGCCGGCCCTACCGAAGAGTGGGTGCCTAGAGGGGGTCTTGAAGGATAAGTAGGAGTTTGGAGAGTCCATAAGGAATGGCGGCGATTCTAGGAAGGGGGAGCAGCGTGAATAAAGAACCAGGCTAAGGCATGAAAAAGCCATGGCATCGGCACAGACTCACAAGACTTCCCTTCCTGTCAGAGGGAGACACAGGCTGGCGAGCTGGGCAGGTGTGTGAAAACGGCTAGAACCGGGGTGTGGATGTGGGAGCCCAGGGCAGGTGTGTGGAGTGAGAAGGGAGCTAAACCAGAACCCTTGGAAACAGCAACCTTGAAAAGGTGGGAGGAGGAGCCAGAAAGGACCATCTGCAAGGAAGAAAGAGAACCAGGCCCCGGGGCGGCGGGGGGTTGGAAGGGTGCGGTCAGCCAGGTGGGATCCGGTGGCCAGGAGAGGCAGCGGAGGTCAGACCACGTTGGTCCAGGGCAGCTAAGGAGCAAGTCCCCTGTGCCATAGAATGATCCCAAAACTATTTGCTTAGAGGGTGGCAGCAGGTCATTTTGGCAGGAACTGTTGAGGGTCTGTAAACTGTAGGTGCTGAATAATTGTTTGCAGTTTCATGGTCATCTCCATCATAATTTGCTGCTCCATTTCCACCACTCAGGGCAATGCAGGTTTTTGCCCTCATGTTCCCACAGGCAGGCAATCTTTTAAAATTGCAAATTGGGTCTTGTCACATCTCTGCTTAAAATCCTTCTGGATAAAGTCAGAGCTCTAGCTGGGCCCTGAGGGCCTCCAGCCCGGAGTGGCTCCTGCTCTGCACAGGTGTTCTGTCCTTAGTTAGAGCAGATGTGTCTTTTGGGGGCTTTCAAGGCTCAGAAATCTCAGGGTGTGGCAGCCCCGAAGCACACCTCTTCCCTGGCAATCCCCTCATTGGTATAGTCACTATGCTATAGTGCAGGGGTCCTCAAACTTTTTAAACAGGGGGCCAGTTCGCTGTCCCTCAGACCGTTGGAGGGCCGGACTATAGTTTAAAAATAAACTATGAACAAATTCCTATGCATACAGCGGCGGCAAAAACACCCGGCGGGCCGGATAAATGTTTTCGGCGGGCCGCATGTGGCCCACGGGCCGTAGTTTGAGGACCCCTGCTATAGTGGGTGCAGCAACAGCACCTGCCCAGCCAGCTTCACGGTGTGCAGCTGGGGCAGTCCCCCGGCGCCCGTGCTCAGAAGGGCCTCACGCTTGCTCGATGCCCTGCTGTCACCGTCTTGAATTCCTAATGATGTTTGGACCAGAGCCCCACATTTCCATCTTGCACCGAGCCCTGCCCGTCGCAGAGCTGGCCCCGTGTCCGCCTCGGGGGGCGGTGTGAGGAGCCATAGGGAACTTGGGAGACCCGCACACCCCAGGGCCCGGCGCATGGCAGGCCCTCGCTGCAGGGTCACCTGTCATCATTTCAGCTCTGCTCAACCACAACCGCAGCCAATAATTCATTCTCGTGTTTGCTCAGCCTCATTGACTAAGTGCTGTGGTCAGAGGCATTGATCAACTGCTTAAACCGTCTGCAGCTGCTCCTCACCTCCGGTTTCCCAAACCTGGCCAGGCCCAGTCACTGCGGAGCTGGTTAAGAATAGATGCCTGTGGCCTGCACCCCAGGCCCCCCGAACCGGCTCCCAGGTTCTGGGCTGTGAGTCTGTATCGTTAGCAAGTTCCCAGGTGACTCTAATGCCTTCGTCTGTGCCGTGATGGGCAGAACAGAGTTGGGAACCTGCATCTTCGGGCGGAGAACCCAAACCCCTTTCCTCTCTGGCCCTGGCTGAGAAGGTGTTACAAGAAGCTCTGGCCCCTTTATCCGCGTGTGCTGTTCCTTCCTTCGGGGCTCACTCGGCACCCAGTTTGTATTCTCCTCCGAGCCGGTCATGTTGAAGGTACTTGTTCCTGCACCTCTATCCCCTGCGGCCTGAGGGCTCCTCGGGGCTCGCCTGCACCCTCAGTTAGCATCGCGCACATTCACTGCCCACGGCAGAGCGCCCAGTGGCCACATGTCCATCGTTATGCTGCTGCTTCCCCTGCAGCCCCGGGCGCGCCCTCCGTGCTCAGTGAAGCCGGTCAGCTGGGCTGGTTGGTGTCACCGCCTTCAGTGCTCCCTCCACAACCGGCAAACCAAACGCCTTCACAGCAGGCGTGTCAAACGCGCGCCCGCGGGCCGCATGCCTCATTTATTTGGCCCGTGTTAGCCTTTGCGTTTGACATGCATGCTTTACAGCCTCGGCGCCGGGTCCTCCTGGGCGGCTCCTGCTCGCTCCTAGTCCATGGGAACAGGCCTCCCCGGAGAAGCCTTCCTCCCAGGAGTCCCTGCGTACCAGTCGTTCTAGGACATCCCCCACGTGTGATGTGGAAAAGGCAGCGTGTGAAACGTAAAGCTTTCTTATGTTGTAGATGCTTCCTCCCTTTTGGAAAGGACTGAGTGTGGCCGAAGCTCAGGTACTGAGCTACTTCAGCGCCCTCCAACCCCCGTCGTGCCAAGAAGAGGGAGTTTTGTTGTTGTCCCCTCAGACCTATGGGGTTTAAATGTTTCTCCTGTTGTTTTCGTCCTGCTTTTCTGCATTTGCTAAAGGCAGCTGACAACCACACCAAATGGGTTATTGGCTTTGGTTGGATACTCGTAGCTTTAATGGCCAACACCTGTGCCACAAAAGACATGCTGGTCAATCGAGGGTGCTTTCCTGAGCACCTGCTGTGTGCTCCCACCAGAGGGGACTCACGGACAAGCAGTTCAGAGGAGCAGGCCATTCCCATCCTCCGTGGTCCTTAGTTTCCCGGACTCACGGGGTATCCGTGCCCAGCACCTTATTCACAAAGCGCTTCCTGAGCTGCTGTCCTAGCTGCCCTGCAGGGCAGGTGTGGAAGCCGAGGGATGGAAAATGGGACCAAGACACAGAATAGCCGAGGCTCATGTCCAAAGCCTGAGGGTTCGGGGCCCATTGGTGTGTTTTACCTGCTGGGCAGAGACCTGGACGGAGCTGCCCACCTCCTTGAAGCCCTGGGCTGGGAAACCCTTTCTTCCTCTCAGATGCCCTTCCATGTGGCAAGGTGGCTGCTGATGTCGGGAAACTTCTGAATTCCTCCAGGAACTCGGGCTGGTGGAGGAGGCCTGCTCGCCAGGAGCGCCTACTCCGCGCCACGCTGCTGGGGGCCGCCGATGACCCCGGTGCGTTCCGCGCCCCGGGAACACTTCCTGCACCCGTAACCTCCTGTCTCCCCGTCTCTCCCCAGGCACATCTCCCTGACGCTGCCCGCCACCTTCCGGGGCAGGAGCAGCACGCGGGCTGACTACGAGTACCAGCACTCCAACCTGTACGCCATCTCAGGTACGTGGGCCCCGCCAGCGGCAGCTACCGACAGTCCCGCGCCCCCTCCCTCGCCGTTTCCAGGCTTCTGGTGGCATCCGTCCTGCCTCCTTCTCCCTACAAGGGGCCTGTTCCCAGCAGCGACCAGGCCTCCCTTTCCTTTGTGTCACCGCAGCACTCAGAGGAGGGCCAGATACGCAGCATGTTTTGAAACTAATGATGAAAAACAATGTGTGGGTTTCACAAGCTTGAAGGGAAGTTTCCAGAGAATAGTCACCACATTGTTCACCTGCCAGGTCCAGGGCAGGTTTCCCACGGGGCCCGCGGCAGCGCAGAGCTGGGGCCTGGCCCCTCCGCCCGCATCCAGGGCTGTCCGCCTCTCATCTCTCACAGCCAGGTCTGTGGCCAGAGGGTCTGCGGGCGGCCTCCCCCTCACCCCCACATATGAGTCTGTGATTTCTGAACTCGGCCTTGAAATTGATAGTGTTACCTTGGCAGGAACTTCATCAGTCCTGGTTTTCCTTTCCCCTTCGCCAGGGAGGGGAGCTCACAGCCTTGTTACAGAATTGAGATTCATTAGGTGCCTGGCGGGCGGGTGACTTGCTAAGAGCTTCGGAAACCCACAAGCTCCCCTGGATTATACTGGGCCTCCGGTCCAGGGTCTGTCTGAGGGGGAAGTGGCAAATCAGTGCCACTTCCCAGCGCACGCCTTAATGGTGAGTGGCATTTCGAACACGGGAACATGGCATTCACTCATGTACCATAATGAATCGGTTATTTAAGAGGTAATCTTTTCTCTAAAAATCGCAACTTCGGGTTACTAAATAGACGAAATAGAACAATGGTGTAATTCGTGTCAGTATTAGTTTTTCTTGTTATGATCACTCCCTAATAGGTTTGGAAGTAAAAGCTAAAGCCAGTTGTTCCATTTCTGGGTGGCACACCTGCAGGGAGAGGTGAGGACAGGGGTGTCCCTGAGCCCAGGGCCTGGCTGCACTCCCGGAGCCAGGTGCCCGGAGGGTGGGGGGACGCGTCTGAGAACAGCATCTCCAGGGAGAGCTGCGCTTGTGCGGCGGCTGGTTCAGCAGAGTCAACGAGGAGCATAACAAGGGTGGAAAGATGGCCTGTTCTGTGGAAGAGCTAACCGTGTCCCCAGGTGCCGCAGGCAGAGCAGCTCTGAAATCCAGCGGGAGCTCGTTCGGAGGCACATGTGGAGGCTCAGGAAAGCAGGGACTGTTCCCTCCAGCTCGCAAATCTTCAGCAGTGAGTGCGCTGCCCCCTGGCTGGGTTCTCTGATGGCTTTCCCAGCTGTTGGCGCTTCTGCGGAAAAGGGCCCACAGAGCGCAGCCTCCCGGTCTGGCAGGAGCGCCTGTGCCTCGGACCGCCGCTTCCTCGCCCGGCCCTGATGAGGTGTTGTCTGGGTTCCTTTCAGCTGTTAGCTTAGCAACACCGAGGTAACAGCCTCAAGACACGGGGGAAGCCATTCGGCAGCTTCCTGTTACATTTATGTAAATGGCAGGCGGTTGGGTTTTATCTTCCAAGCAGAGGTAGTTGAGGCTGCAGCCCAGAGCAGCAGGCAGCTCGGCCTGGACGACTGCAGGCACCAAATCGCTCTGCCAGGGTCCAGGAATGCTTTGTTGTGATGCTGCCAGAAATACTCCGCAGGACCCGCTGGCTCCAGAAGCCTGCAAGCTCAGCACCGGGCAGCCATGGTGCGGCTGGCAAGCCTGCCCGCCGACCCCGGCAGCCTGCCTGCGGCGTGCTGGCTGGAAGGGGCAGAGAATGCCCTCCCCCATATGAGCAGGATTTGGCACCAAGTGGCACTTCTCAGTTTGGTATCGTGAAGTTAAGGTTTCAGTGGTTTATTCCAAAAACAGTCAAGGCAGAGTGTGCCCTAGGCCTTAGCCCTTGCCCGTTGCCTGATGCCATGGTAGCTGGAGCTCCGCACACGCTCACTGCCGGCTTCAGGGCCTGAGTCTTTGGTGCAAAATCCTGGTGGGCTGGTTCATGCCTGAGAATATTTGATTAGTTTGCAGTCCTTCCTAAGATAAGTAGATTTCCAAACAGTGTAACTAGAATTTGCAAAAGCAGCCCACATTTGATTTGAATGTGTGGTTATTGAAGTAATATTTACTTAGAAATGTTTTCCCAAGGGCATGCCTGAATTTCACTAAGACATCTATCCATGCCACATGCAAAAGGAAGACACTGCTCAGAGGAGCTCTGTCCCCAGCACCAGAGGTGCTCATGAAATGTTTAGGGAGGGAGGGAGGCATCTAGCCAGCGTCCGCCTTGCCCAGGAATGCCCTCTGTGACCTCAGGGCAGATGGTCATCCTGATTTGCTGCTCAAGCGCCTGCAGCCTCTGGGGCTGCCACCTCCCGTGAGCTCACTCATGTCTGCGAGGTCCTCCCTGTTCGGCTGGGCTCTGCCGTCCTCTGTGCATATCCCGCCGGCCTTTTGGGGTCCTGTGCATTGTCTGCCAGGACGTGTCAGCTGTGCCGTGTGGTCCAGCCGGCGGCTTTCTCTTGCGCTCAGAGGTGGTGAGGAGCTTCGGATCCTGCTGAAATCCTGAGAAGCTAGGCCTTGCGGCTACCCTGCACCCTGGTCAGAATGGCATGAAGATGCCATCAGTCCTCACACCTCCTCCCCTGGAAACTGCTCCTCGAATGTCACAGTGTGCAAAGAGACTTACGCATAGGATGGGCACTGCTGCTTTTAAATAATAAACGCCCCAAAGAGGTGTGGGGTGGACTCTCAGTGGTTGCTAGGGTTCTTTTTACAAATATCTTACCTCTCCTGAAAAGTCTTCTATTTTTGTCCCAAATGATAGCATTCTACCTTTTCTTAGAGTTTTTTCAGATGCTTAGATGTCTGAACATTTATTCATATCTATTTCATCTGTTCCAGGAAGATTTAAGGTAGCTCCAAAAATACATGTAACAAAATAAAAATGGGAGTGAAAAGATAAGAGTGAACAAAGCCTGGGCCAGGAGTGTAGGGCGCCGCTGCGGGTGGAGGGGAGCCTGGGTCCGGGGCTGGGCCAGGGCAGCTTCCCTACGGGCAGCAAGAAACAAGCTGCTGCTCAGGAAGAGACTGACTGTCCTTTCACTGAACCCTCCCCATCAGGAGGCCCCTAAGGGGCAGTGAGTAGCAAAACTACTGCTTTTCAGTGAGTTTAAAAGGTCCACCTGAGCCTGGCCGGTGTGGCTCAGTGGTTGAGCACCAACCTATAAACCAGAAGGTTGTGGTTTAATTCCCGGTCAGGGTGCAGGCCCAGGTTTCTGGCTCGATCCCCAGTGTGGGGCGTGCAGGAGGCAGCCAATCAATGATTCTCTCTCATCACTGATGTTTCTATCTCTCCTTTGCCATTCCTCTCTGAAATCAATAAAAATATATATATTTTTAAAAAGGTCCACCTGAATGATCATGTAGGGGGATCCGCTCAGGTGAACCCCAGAAATGTTTGGGAGTTGAGTAAGGGGTTTCCTTGTGCTGAGCGTCCCATACCTTGGGGACTTGAGACCTCGGGGGCCTTCAGGGAGGAGGCGCTCCCCTCCTGTCCAGCCTGAGGGACACCCTGTGCCAGGCAGCCTGCAGCACAGGCTTCTGCCTTTCACCGAGGACTGCCTCTGTCCGTCCATGACCGGTTTCACCTCGTGAGCCGGTGACTGGGGTGGTTGTTGTAAACTGATTTATATTCCCAACTGAAGAATTTTTGCAAAAGAAAACCTGTTTTTCTCCCTTTTGAAAAATTGACATGGGAGCTTAAAATAGTAAAATTAAGCAAATGCATATTAAAACAGGCAGGTAATCAAACTGAAAATCTCACATACCCCACGGATTCAGGAGGCTCCGCCGAGCAAAATTCCCCGACGCCTCACAGTGCAGGGAGCCGCGGGGCTCTGTGTCCTTCCCTGTTAGTCAGGGGCAGCCCCCCATGCTGACATCCTCATTTATCCATCAGCGTTAGGCTGACCACATACTCATTAACCACGTCGTCACATTGGAGAGTGAAAAGCGCACAGTGGCCCCAGACAACAGCCATCACCTGGAACCGACCTGGTGGGCGTGCGTGCGTGTGTGTGTGTGTGTGTGTGTGTATTTTTTTTTTCTCGATTTCCTTTTTGATTGCTGGAAAAGCCAGCTTATTGCCTTCTCCAGCTGTTCCCTCTTAAAAACCAGTCCCCATTCAAGATGCTGACGCCAGGATCGTGCGAGCGTGGGCAAGTCTGAGTCCATCAGCCCATCCGTTTGGCCCGCGGCTCGCGTACGGAGTGGAGGAGGGTTTTATCTGAAACAGAACCCTGTATGAGCCATGTAACCGACATCAGACCAGGAAAGTGCAAAGCAATTAAAAATAATTAATGATTTCTGAATATCGGCCTTCTCCATGCAGTTTTAATCTAGTCCTCATTTAAATGGGAAGATGGACATTTAATTATCAGTATTATGAAATTCATGATTTATATATTTCATCCAATGGGATAAAATTTCTGCCACCAGCTCTTCATCTTATTATGAGGAGAATCTGTATATTTTAAGATATGATCCTTTAAAAATGCACCCGCAGCATACTGGGCAGCTGTAAGCATCTTTTCCTTTCACTTGTAGTGATTACGTTATTTCTACCTTTTAATTAGGGGAGAACAGTCTCACCTGGAAAATCAAATATAAGCTTAAGACTTCAATGTTCATAAAGCGTTGCCGGGTGGGAAGCGAAGGCCGGCAGACGGAAACAGCAGCGTGCCTGAGGAATGCCTTTTTTTTCCGTGGAATCTAACCCATCTGCCCCGTGTGATGTGCACGTGTCACGCTGCAGAGCTTGCGCCCGTGCTCTGTGTGCGCGTGCCTGTGGCTCCCCTCCCCGTGTATCGGGGGTCAGCTCGTGGGTGGGGTAAGCACCTGTGAGGTCAACAACCACCAGTGAGGGAAAGCCCTTCTTCTGGTGGAAGCCTGAGTCATCCGGCACCTTCTGCATTTGCAGTATCCCTCTGGCCTTTGTCTGTAGCGGACACATCC